GTAAGGATACCGTATCTCGAACAAATATGTAACTAGGAGGTGTCTGAACCTCTACTAGCCCGATTGCAAAGCTTGTTTGCATTTATACAGGTCAGTACCACATGCAACTGTCCTTTGGACAGTCAGATTCGTTCGGGTGTTGCCATAAACAATATACATAATCATTGATTGTGGCAAATGAGCTTTTGAGACGAGTTCAACTTGTTCTTGAGGATTTCAAGTCTGTTGTATGTCATGGTATGGTCGCGGCACTTGCGCGTCAGTGGCGTGGCAGCGCCGCGTCAATGCGCGGCAACACAGCCACCGGGTAAAGTGCCGCGGCAGAGTGCCGCGCACACTCTAGCTCTTTTCATACCACTCCCCTGGCATAAATTGGAGTTGAAAGAATGTTCTCTAACCTCAGTGGACTCTGTGGGATGAGAAGCTCTGCTCCAGAAGCTTTGGGGCATTCGTGTGAACCATATAGATGAATTCTGAACAACATAGTAGATTTATATGCCAGCAACTGGCTCGGAAGCATGCTTCATGCAGAAAATCAGCGAACTAGCCCCATTTTGTTACACTCCCCCCCCCCCCCCCCCCCCCCCCAGAGCAGGTATTTGAGGCACCCTCTGGCTCAATCTCACATTCAACGGGCCTTAGTTCAAGTCTCTTAGTTTAGTTCCGACGTCTTGGATTTTCATGAATTCATCCTCCAGCATGGATTTCCTATAATAAATCTTACACCCAAGTGAATATCATGCTCTGTGAGCGACGCGATGAGCTTGAACCGTGGAAATCAGCACGAAATCTTCTTCATTGCACCCTCAATCCACACGGAAAACCCGAGAAATAATTCATGCACCGCCTAAATCTCGCAAAATATCTGCAACCAACATGGCAGAGCTTTATAGGACTCTTTGTTATTGAGGTTGACAATAATTTCCCGCAGTTAATTTCAGGCTCACAGAATTTTGTAGAGTGCAATGTTGCAGTGCCGCGGTAGCTACCCAGCACCTAAAATGTACATGAATTGCAGCGCATAGTTAATTCCTAGTGATTGTGGGAGGTATTGAAAGGGGCTGGTTGGTTACATTGTGGGCTGGAGGTTGGCAGTTGAGCACTACCACGAGACTTCTGTAGTCGATGTATTGTTACAACTGAGACAAAACCGATATCACCCCGAGGACTTGAATTGAAGGCCGAAGATTGATTTAGGAAGAGTTACACGCTCCGCAGTAGTGCAACGTCAACTTACCCTTCATATACGGAACGCGTGAACTATAATAATTATCTTCAGCACCATTGGATGAGTTCAAAGAATGTCGAATCTAAGCCTTCATGGCACGCAGGATTAATACGGACCTCAAGTCGTTGGGCCTATTTGAAAATATGCGGCGGTGTACAGTACATCAGTGGCGCGGCATCGCGTCTATCTATATTGTCATCGCCTGAGGCCTGAGTTTTACATTTTTTCCCCGAATTCCATGAAGTGTTGACGAGTTGTCAGCCTTCTTGAGTTATGTATGGAGAGACAGTAAGCCACGCTCGAAGTGCGGCGTATCCCTCCGACTATTGATTTGGGGACCACAATTTGCAGTCAGTCCACGTTCCACTCCGACTGATTTCCACAAATTCACCGAGCAGGGAATTCAATGTGGTAAGTTTGATCTGTAGACTCAAGCTATAGGTACACAGATCCATCATTTAGTCTGAGCAGCAGTGGTGCAGCTATTTAACCATTAGTCACCATGTCGTGCTTCAAGTTGGCACTACAAATCAATCTGACGCAGTGGTCTCAGTCCTAATTAAAGTCAGGATAGTATTTTTGGGGTCTGAACAATTTATTGAAGTGAACAACACGGTTTGACCTGGATTCACGCCCATATGCAGGATATTTGACAGTTTCAGAAAGTGTGCGGCAGTTTACATGGGTCCGACTAAGCCCGACTAGTGAAATTTCAACTATGGGTTTTTCGTGTCTAAACTATGTATTGCAACCAGAAAAGCGTGCGCGAACATAATTCAGGACCGATGAACCCTTGTGGACTGAGTTAGACGCTGCGCGGCAGCGCCGCGGCAATAACACAGCCACCGCCGCGTCAATGCGCGGCAGTGCCGCGGCAGTGCCGCGTCAGTGCCGCGGCAGGCGCGGCACTTTTGCCCAGCCCCAGTTGGATCACATGGAGCGATCGAGCCGCTGAGGAGCCCACGAAGCCACATATGTTCAACCACATCTCTAAGGCCGGTATCGGGAGCCTCCGCCAGGATGCGTCGAAGGAATTACTTGCATGTTGCGAGCCCGTTTGTACAAGCCACGCCCAAGCCACCCGCCCTACAAGCGAGGGTCAAACCTGCAATTCCAACGTCACTAACACTGTAGAGAATTATTCGAGCTGGTGCACAATGTAATGCATCCGTTCATGCGCACAAGGAGAATGTTGGTTGAATTCGGTACTGAACTTCAAGGGATTAATCACCGACATCATTTCTACAGAAGCCAGCACAAGCCACTTTGCTCGCGCAGAATGGTTTGTGGCACGTGACACAAGCCATTCTGCTCAAACCCACGCCGCCCACGCTCACCGATGCCCACCCTCCCTACGATATTCCAAGTCTTTTTTAATGATTCCCATGATTTTTCGCCAGTTCCGGATTATTGAGCAAGCCATTTTGCTCGCAGCAACTAGTGGCCGAAATAAAATGAAACTAACTATTATTTGGAGTGTAGTGACTCCATATGACGATGTAAATAGAAATATAATGATTTTCAAAAGTCTTTTTTAATGATTCCCATGATTTTTCGCCAGTTCCGGATTATTGAGCAAGCCATTTTGCTCGCAGCAACTAGTGGCCGAAATAAAATGAAACTAACTATTATTTGGAGTGTAGTGACTCCATATGACGATGTAAATAGAAATAGAATGATTTCCAAAGCTTGAATCAAAAAACTCCACCCACACCGGGCACAAGCCACTTTGTCACCAGAATGGCTTTGTGATGGCATTTGACATGTTCAACTTTTCTCAACCCGGTGCCAATTCACCAAGATCTCGCTGCAACATGCTAGGAGTGGGTAAATTAGATATAACTGAGATGGTATGGACTTTATTAGGCATGAATTCCTTGACTTTTCATAACAAGCCGGCCCACGCCCATTTTGATGGCATCAGACAGAATGGCTTGCACAAGCCACGTTGTCGCTGAAGAAAAAGAGTGATTTCCTGGCACATGGTGGGCCTGAAGAGGCCCCAGATTATTCAAACATGTTCATTGGGGCAGTTTATATCAAAGAATTGAGTATTTACGCCCATTCAGTTGGTTATGGCCAAGACCGTGGTTTAACCATGGCAACTAACGAAAGCCACAGCCCAGAATGGATGGCCAAGGGATGGTTTCACCTCTTCTAGAGTATCCAATGCCTTTTTGTGAAGGAATCTGTTCAAATTTTCAGTTTAAGGTACTGAAACACTTGTATGGTTCAAAAGTCGGGTGAGTTGACCACTGTTTTTGGGAATATTTTGCGTGGTGAACATTTTCACTTGTCGCGTCGTTAACCATCGAAACACCCATGGCCTCATCCTCTCCATCGCCTCTAACCCACGTCGTCGCCGTCGCCGTCATCCCACATCACGCGTCCATATCCTCCGGCATTCCATTGCCTTTCCTCCCCTCACCCTCTGTGTCTTGCCCGTCATCGCTCGCCCACCCGGCGTCCACTTAGTATCCCGCGCACGTCCCCTTCTCGTATCCACGCGCCCGTCCCTCCTCGCGCTCGCAGCGTCCCCTTCCCCGCCTCCCCGCATCTTAATCATCCTGGTGTGCTCTCCCTTCACACCCCGCCGCTTCACCTCCTCCCTCCGTCCGCGTTCGTCTCCCATCGCCTCCCTCTCCTTCCATGCCCTCGCCTTCGCCCTCGCCCTCTCTTCCTCTTACTGCACACGCCCCTTCTCCTCCCTCCCCTCCCCTCCATCCGTCCGCCCTCTCTACCCTCTGTCCCCACCTCGGTTCATGGCCCTGTCTACGTTCGCCATCGCCGTCACCATCGCACCCTGCCGCGCATCCATCGGGTCCTTCCACCGCATCAGCGCCCACCACCTGACCGTGTCCCGCGCCTCCCGCCCGCCCTCCATCCACCCAACCCTGCGCGCTCTCAGCTCCCGCCACCTGTCCATCCCTCCACGCCCTTGCCGCCGGTGCGCGCGTATCGTATCCGCACCGTTTTCTTCCTCCCACCGCCACATCCAGCCCAGGGCTCTCGGATCTCATTCACGCACATCGAATTCCCGCGTGCGCAAGTCTACGTTTGGAATGCCCGCCTAACAATTCAAGGCTCGCGCCCGCGCGCGGCTGCGTCGTCCGCAGCTTCGGATCTGGATTGAATCTGAATCCCGACTCCTTACAAGCATATCCGAAGTCCAAGTCTCGAATCGGAATTCCCGCGTCCGCAATGCCCCAGCCCTTCTCAAATCGGGACGCATCCAGATACATACCCCCGCGGTCGCAAATCCAAGTCTCGACTCCCCGCGTCTCGCAACTCCAACCCTCACGCGCATCACGTCCCGTCTTGACTCCGCATTAGGGCCCAGCTTGGCGCGCATCCAGATTCCAGATGCCTATCCCCCGTTCGAAGTGCAGGTCCGCGTCCCGAGTCCACACGCTCGCAACTCCACATCCCCCGCGCTCGCAACTCCGAATCCCATGCGCCTTGCCGCGATGAGCACGAAGAAACCGTGACGAGCGTTGGTGATTCCGGAATGTGTGGGTCGGGTGGGTGGCGTTGGGAGTAGGTAGATAGGTAGGTAGGTGCGGGCGAGAGGGAGGTGCGAGAGGCAATTACTTGGTATGTCGCGCTATTGTTAGTTTTTGTTAAAAAAATGGATGTTGTTTGGATGTACACCGAGTGATCATGAGTGGGATTTCTGTTCTGAGCAGTCTTTCTTCGAGCTGAGGTAATACCGCCGCGTTTGATGAGTAGGAATGGAAAATAACAAAAGAAAAAGGCCTTCGAAACAACGGATTTCAGACACAAGGACTCGAACCCTGGACTGCCTCTGAAAAGCTACAGATTGCGCCATGAAGGGAGGCTGTGTTCTCACTACACCATGTCTGACTTGCTTCCCAGTACATCCGGGTGATTTTATGAGCTTGTTTGAGTATTAGTGTTTGAATAATTGTAGACAGAACGGGGTACTTGTTTTGTTAGATATTCGAGGAGCGAGCGGGAATGTTCGACTTGAAGCTTCGAGAAAATTTTGATTTCGAAGGCGAGAGAAATGAAAAGGAAAAACAAGAATCGACAATGGATTCCCTATTCAGACACAGGGAATCGAGCCCCGGACTGCCTGTCAATTTTACTGGAGAGTACCCAGAATATGAGGCTGTGTTCCCGTTACACCATATCTGAGCTACATTCCAGTACATTCGGGTGATTTTATCAGCTTGTTTGAATATTAGCATTTGAATAATTGTAGACGGAGCGGGGTTCTCGTTCTTTCTTCGTGCTGTGGGACACTGGATATTCAACCTTCAGAGCGGATTTCACCGTGCGTTCTGCGCAGGGCGGTGAGAAAATGAAGTTAGCAGCGCAAGACGAAAAAGATCATCCACCCGAATTCAGCCGAATTCAGCCACAGGGGGTCGAACCCTGAATTGCCTCTGTAGAACAGAATTTACATATCATAAGAGACCGTGATCCCACTACACCACATCTGAGTTTCTTTCTTCTCCATCCGGATAGTTTTATCGGCGTGTTTGAGTATTGGCGTTGAACACTGGTGGGTCTATGAGCAGTCTACCAAAATCAGGAAAGAGGACCGCAGCCTACCGCAGCCCGCCGCAGCCCTTGATCATGGCTGCCTCTGAAATATGGGTCTATGATATCATGGGCTAGGGCGGTCTCCCGAAAATCGGGTCGAACGCGGCCGGAGTGGTATTCAACCATGCACGTGATCTATGTTCAACCGCTCCTCGAGCCGACTCAGTTCGATTCGCCTTTGATGTAGGAACCTGGGGCGCGAGGTTGGAGGCGGAAGAGAGGAGTCAATGAGCGAGGGCAGAGGAAAGAAATATGGGCAAGGAAGAAGCGGGGAATTTAGAGTCTACTGTAACCGTGGTTCAAACTCAGTGCAACCTTGCCGTCAATCCCGAAAAAATAAATGATAAAATAGAGGGGCAGTGGGGTCTGTGTTGTGCTGTAATCTCCTCTCAAGTAGCGCCGGAGCCGTTGGTGATGAACAGAACGAAGGAGTGAATATCACGTAGGTACAGTACTTGATTGAATAACAACTCCATCGAGTTGAATATACCGATATCGGCGCGGTTGTAGGAATTTGAATTGAGGGATTGGAGTTTGCTGAGGAGGGAGGGGGGATGAGAGCAAATGAAAAATGCGAAGAGACATGAAATTCAGATACAGGGATTCGAACCTCGGACTGCCTCTGATATAATCCCAGAGGTGATTATTACTAGAGGCCATGTCCACACTACACCATGTCTGAGTCTCTTACTCCTACATCCGGGTAAATTTATTGGCTTGTTCAAGGGAGGCAGGAAAATCAAAAATAAAGCTAGACCATTCAGATAGAGGGATTCGAACTCTGGACTCTTATAGCGGATCCACACTGGTATTGAAAGGAGGCTGTGTTCCTACCACACCATGTCTGAATTTCTGGTACAGTCTTGTTGGCGAGTTGAAGGAGTGCAAATAAAAGAGTAATGAATCCCATGAATTCAGACACACAGATTTGAACCCCTGAAATGTAAGAGAACAGCAATAACAAGAGGCTATGTTCCCGCTAGTAAGTTCCTCTCATGCTTCCACGCAAGTTTTTATCAACTCCTTCAAGGAGGAAACTTAAGAAGAAAGGAAAACCATCGACCAATCGACCATTCAGACAAGGCATTCTAACCCTGGACTGCCTCTGAAACACATGTAGACAATAATACAAGAGGCCGTGTTCGCGCTACGCCATATCTGAATACCTCTCCCCTTCCTAGTTGGATTGTATTAGCGCCGAGATCTTGGCCGTCCAACATTTCGCCCGAGAACGTGTCCATACAGAGAGGAGACCCAGTGGCGAGACGCGACGGTGGAGGAAGAGGAGAGCCACAAGCGATGTCACTTGACCTCGGTGATTTCCGCACAGTGCCCTATCCAGAAAATACGTCGGAGATCATCGGGATGCCCCTGAGTGCGTGGCTGACGAAACATCACACGCGATGGTTCTTGGCTGTGGCTGTCGGAGTCGCCCTCCTGCACAGATCTTCATGAAACCCTTGCTGTGATGTTCTTCCAAAAGCTCTTTCGTTTGAGCTTTTTCACCGCCGCTTGCGCTCCTAGGCAGCGGCTGCTACTTTCTGCCCCTCGTACTCCTGACTCCATTGCTTTCAATCTCATCCCCGGTCACTTTAAAGGCTCTGGAGCCCGATCTTCCGCGCCAGTGTGGTGGTGTGGTGGAAAGAATCTCTGTTCGCCGTCATACCTGCCGTATCAAAAATACCATCTGCATTTCAGCGGGCTGTCCGTAGGACCGATAGTATCATTTCACTGTGCAGCGAGAATTATGTTTGATACTTGTCTATTCTACTGTTCAATTCCAACCTCTTGCAACCGCCTTTACAACATTCAAGAGCAGGAGAACTGGGAATACGATTACTCAGCGCCTCCGAAGCTAACGCTCAGCTCGATCCCCACGCCGCAAGTACAAATATATAAGCGACGGACAGACTAGTGAAGAACCCTGCTACGCCTTGCCAGCTACTTGATACTTGTTCAGAGTAATGTTGTTCCCTCTACTCCTCTCCCTCGTCGTCTGTGCGGCTGCGTCGTTCACGTTCCCCACGAGACTCGTACTCCAATCACCTACTGGGCTATTCCTCGAGAACCTTGCCGTGCGACCAAACGGGAAACTTCTAATTACTTCTCCGGAGTCCTCGACGCTCCATATGCTCGACCCCACCGTTGAGAACCCGACTTTCGAAGAAGTTCACACCTTCCCAAATGTTACTCTCTTCGGCATTGCTGAGGTCCAGCCCGACGTTTACGGGATCATCGCCTTTGTGCTCAATGTCACGACACTTAGCGCTCTCCCCGGCACTATCGCCATCTGGCGCGTGGATCTGAGCTCGGGTGGTCCGCCTGTGGTCAACAAGGCTGCAGACGTCCCCGATGGCATGTTCCTGGACGGGCTTGGCGCCGTTCCGGGGGAGCCTGACCTCGTCCTCGGCGCGGACACCGCTGCGGGACGAGTATGGCAAATCAATCTGCGGACGGGCGTTGTGCGCATCGCAGCTCAAGACGATGCGTTCGCGCCCGGCGCACCCGCGCCTGCGTTCGGCATCAACGGCCTCCACGTACGCGGCGGTGATCTGTATTTCACCAACTCGCAGAAGAAGACGTTCTCGCGGGTTCCAATATCAGTGCGTGACGGAAATGTCGCGCAAGCCGGGCCCATTCAGGTGCTCGGATCCGCGAATGGGACGGACGAATTCGACGACTTTGTGTTTGATGCAGGGGGGCGCGTGTGGGCGGCGACACTTCCAGACACGCTCACGTTATTCTTCCCGCCTACCCAGGGGAATGGGGTGCTCGGGCAGCTCAATGCGCCGGGGAATCCCGTCGAGTTCGATAGCCCGACTTCGGCTGCGTTTGGGCGGGGTGGGGTTGCTCAGCAGCATACGTTATATGTGACAACACAGGCTGGACAGTTGATCGCAGTTGATACCACTGGTATCCGTGTATGAGAAGTCCTGGGTAGGACGGTTGAAAGATACTCCGTAATATTTTTTCAAACACGCACCTCTCATAGGTATCCTTTTGTCCAAACAGTTGCTCGTATATGCTGTTCACTTTGTAAAATAAATAAATGGCACATCGGTTTTGATATTTTGGCAGAAATATTAATGTGATTCTGAAGCACAATCACATGAGTTTCAGGCCCCATCGCGATTTTCAGCTGGACGCGATCGCGATTTTAATCAAGTCATATCGCGATTCTCCCGCATCAATGACGTCACCCGCTCCCAACTCGCTCGACGCCGATTTCACCCTACTACTAGTACTACTGCTAGTAGTACTACTAGAACTCACCTCGATGCTGTCGATCCCCGTTCACGCGGCCCTCGCCCAAACGGCCCGCCCTCTCTGGCTCCGCGTCCTTTGGGCCCTTCTCAACAGTCCTCTCCGACGCCTCTTACCGACACTGGCTCCTGCGCGCACCCCGTGATGGACCTGGGTCGCTTCGTCTGCCCTCGAGTCCCATCGCACGCACCCTAATCAACGCGGCTCTCATCCTCACCTCCCCGTGGCTCATTCATCAGTCACATCCATCCATTCACTTTTATTTTCGCCTCGCCCCGCGTCCCCTTACTATCCACGCGCACGTTGCCTTGTCGTATTCACGCGCCCGTCCCTCCTCGCTTCGCAGCGTCCCCTTCCCCACCTCTCCGCATCTTAATCATCCTGGTGTGTTCTCCCTTCACACCCCGCCGCCTCATTCCCTCCCGCCACTCTTCCTCATCCGCCCGCGTCCGTCTCCCCTCGCCCTCGCCCTCGCCCTCGCCCTCTCTTCCTCCTCTTACCGCACAATCTTCCTCTCCTCCCTCCCTCCCCTCCGACCGTCCGCTCTCTCCGCCCTCTGTCCCCCCCTCCGGTCCGTGTCCGTGTCCGTGTCTAAGTCCCCCGTCGCCATCCCACCCGCCGCCGTCCCCTTCCGCCGCATCAGCGCCCACCACCCGCCCGTGTCCCGTACATCCCGCCCGTCCTCTATCCACCCAACCCTGCGCGCTCCCAGCCGCCGCCGCGGCGTCGCCACCCCTCCGTGCACCGTTACCCATCCTGTCCCGTCCCTCCGCGCTGGTGCGCGCGCGTCGTATCCGCACCGCTCTCTTCCTCCGACCGTCACATCCAAGTCCAGGGCCCTCGGATCCCATACACGCACATGTATGTAAATCCTCCCGTGCGCAACCCCACGTTTCGAATCCGCGCCTATCTCTATTCAAGGCTCGCACCCGCGCGCGACTGCGTCGTCCGCAGCTCCGGATCTGGATCGAATCTGAATCCCGACTCCAAGTCCCGTACAAGCACATCTGAATCAGAATCGGAATCGTAGTCCCCGCGCTCGCAATGCCCCAGCCCTTCTCAAATCGGCGCGCATCCAGATACATACCCCCGCGGTCGCAAATCCAAGTCTCGACTCCCCGCGTCTCGCAACTCCAACCCTCACGCGCATCACGTCCCGTCTTGACTCCGCATTAGGGCCCAGCCCTTCTCAAATTGGCGCGCATCCAGATTCCAGATGCCTATCCTCCATTCGCAAGTGCAGGTCCGAGTCCCGAGTCCACGCGCGCCCAAATCCACGTCCCAGACATTCTCAAATCGCCACGCTCGCACTGGCAAACTCAAGTCCCGGTCGACGCGCTTCGCCTCCGACGAGCACGAATGAGCACGAACGCGAACGAGGGCGAGCGGGGGGTTTTGATTTCTGATTTCTGATTCCGGGATGTGTGGGTGTGGGTCGGGTGGTGTTGTGCGGGAGGTTCGAGGTAGGTTGGTAGGTAGGGAGAGGTGAGGGCGAGCGAGCTGGGGGCGGACAGCGGAAGTACTTAGTATGTAGGGCTGTTATTAGTTTTTTTTCTTTCAAAAAATGGATATCGATTGAATGCAGCGAGTGGGCGGGGTTCCTGGTGGTGTAAGCATACGTAGTACCGCCGCGTTCGATAGGAATGGGAAATGACAAAAGAAAAAAATCACTTAATCCCAAGCCACTCGGACACAGGGATTCGAATCCTGGACTGCCTCTGAAGTTTAACGCCTTCTTATTGCTAGGGGCTGTGTTCCCACTACACCATGTCTGAGTTGATTCTCAATACATCCGGGGACCTTTATTAGCTCATTGAGTATTAGCAGGGTGGTGTTTGGATGTAGAGCCTGAAAGGGGTTCTTGTTTTTTAGATATTCGAATTTCGAGACGCAAGCAGGAATGGTCGGCTTGGAGCGTGAACCGTGGGAGAAAGAATGAAAAGGAAAAAAATTCGATCAAACATATTCTATTTAGACACAAGGATTCGAATCCTGGACTGCCTCTTAATTCCACCCAAAATCTCCAGAATAAGAGGCTGTGTTCCCATTACACCATGTCTGAGTTGCTTCTTAGTACATCCGGAACCTTTATCACTTTATTTGAGCATTGGCGTTTGAATAATTGTAGATCGAACGGGGTTCTCGGTGTTCTTTGTGCTGTGGACACTGGATATTCAACCCTCAGAGCGGGTTCAACCGCACGTTCCGCACAGGGCGGGGAGAAAACAAATCCATGCCTTACAGGCATGTGGCGAGCCATGTACCCAGACAGTTGCATGGCATGTGTTCGGGCATTACTGATAGCACAAAGACGACCACCGGGTATGATGGCAGGGTCGAATACCTCTCTGTTGTCTTTGTGAGTCCTATTTTTAGCATGGTTCCCGTAATCTTGTCAGGCTCTTGTCAGGCTGGTGGCAGCTGCCCCACGCGTTCCAGAAGCTGGACCTGACAATAGCAGGGCGAGGCAGGAATGGGGAAAGTTAACACAACATATAGTTCCGGCGGCTTCGAAAACCGCCCGCACGAGCTTAGGCACAAAATATAAATGCGGTGGTCAGCAGCGGTTACTACTCATTGATATATCCGGGGCGAAGTGAGTGCCCGGGTACATGCCTGCCACATGCCTGGATGCCTCCACGGGTGACGGCATGTAAAGTGCACATGCCCCATGTTTAGCCTCCTGTGATAGCTATAGGCAAGGATGGCTGAGTATAGGTCGCAAGGTCTTGACGTAACCGTGTATTGATATCAGGGCATAATTAGAGGTATCTCATCTTACCTGTGCGCCCCGAGCCTGTACCGATCGTTTCCTCAGTTCGTGTAGACATTGAATACTTTTCGAGAATTTGTAATGCCGACTTGCGGCAGTTCACATGATTTAACAATCTTGCTTCTCAGTACTGATTGGATTCTCGTCCTTTCGCACACTCGCACCTCTCTTGCTCCACCTCTGCTCACTTACTAGGTCATGGCTGAATCTCCCTTCAAAATTTCGGTTCCAGACGCCAGCATCGATCGACTCCATCAGAAGCTCAAGCTCACCACTCTCCCCGATGAGCTTGACGGCGCGGGATGGGACTATGGCGTGCCACTAGTGGACGTTAAGCGGCTCGTTGCACGATGGTCAGACGGTTACGACTGGCGGCACCACGAGGCAGAACTCAACGCTGCGCTGCCACAATTCACCCGCACCATTTCTGTCGAGGGCCACGGGGCGCTCACAATTCACTATGTACATCAGCGAAGTGAAATCCCCGGCGCCATTCCGCTGCTCTTTGTCCACGGTTGTGCGTATAGCTTTACCTTTGCGGGCAGTGTGATAACGTGAAGCATCGCATAGGGCCGGGAAGCTTCCTTGAGGCGCGCAAGATTGTACCGTTGTTGTCCGCGAAATCGGCAGACCATCCAAGCTTCCATGTCGTGGCGCTAGGCCTTCCTGGGTACGGCTTCTCCGAGGGTCCTTCGACGAAGGGGTTCGATATTCCTCAGTATGCAGAAGTATGCAGTTCTGGTTCCTTATTCAACGCTTGCATTACTGATCGGACCCACAGGTCGGAAATAAACTGATGCTGGCACTCGGATACAATGAATATACCACGCAAGGAGGGGATTGGGGCTTCCCAGTATGTATTTTGTCTTGAACATACGCGAGCAATGCTACAGCTTATAATATCAGATTACCCGAATGATTGCCCTAGTGTACGGCGAGAAGCATAGCAAAGCATGGCACACGAATATGGTCATGTACGTTCCGGAAGCACCTGCATATTCGTTACATCTCATAGTCAAATTTAGGGGAGCTCCTCCTTCTGACCATTCGGAGTCAAATGCGGAGCTAACACCCAAAGAGCAAGCCGCGTTTGCCCGAACCCAATTGTTCCTCAGCAGGGGCACCGGGTACTCCGGGCAGCACTCTACTCAACCGCAAACGCTGGGATATGCCCTGGCCGACTCACCTGTGGGTCTTCTCGCCTGGGTATATGAGAAGCTGGTAGTCTGGTCGGATAATTATCCATGGGATGACGACGAAGGTATTGCAATGAAACCTGCATGGTTCCATAATTTCTCACTCCTGTTCGCTCGCAGTTTTGACCTGGGTATCCATCTTCTGGTTTTCGCGAGCCGGCCCAGCGGCTTCGATCCGTATCTACTTTGAAGCTGGGAACCGCGACTTCATGAAGGTATTCTCTGTTAACCCGAAGCCGACGATCCCGCTCGGCTTGTCGCATTTTCCTCGAGAGCTATTCGTGTTCCCCAGAAGGCATGTTCATTTCAATCCCTGGCGGTCGTCTACTCACGTTCCTACAGCTGGACACGGGGATTGGGCAATATTGTATTCGAGGGAGAACATGACAGCGGCGGGCACTTTGCTGCCTACGAAAAGCCCAATGAGCTCGTGGATGATTTGAGAAAGATGTTTGGAAAGGACGGCCCTGTATTCGGAGTTGTGCCCGGACAATCAGGATATTAGTGAAAAACCTTCAAGTTGAACCTGAGTCGGACTGAGGTGCCCAAAGGCCGAAGTATCTTGTTCCGCGTATATCGAACTCTCCGAAATTGTATGTGGCCGACCTGAAATAAATGACCATGATTAAGATTGCAAACGATTAAAATCACCAAAACTCAAATGGGTACATTTAGTGTTGTCAAGGTCCGGTTCGGGAAATCGGTTCGAAGCCGGATCGGACTGAACTGAACACCAAGTTCAGTTCAGCGTTCGGGCCAAGCAGAGATTCGCTGAACGCGTCCGAACACGTCCGAACCCCTGAACCGGGATAATTTTTTTCCTAAGTGGCGTTACTAAACTGGTTTAAAATTCATCTCTGTTGTCCCTGCAAGCAATTTGTTGCCTGTGTTCCTAACCAGGTCCCAAGCCTGCTGTCTGCCACCATTCCTTCCCCATTTTACAGGCTCATGACTAGGTGCACTCGTCGTATATAAGGCATGGCAAATCGTGCTTTCATCTCAGTCCTTTTCGCCCTCTTAAATCTCTCTCGCCTCTTTCGCTCTCATCATGTCACCCTCCACGCTCGGATGCGTTCAAAATGTGGATGGTTCACTCCGGGACACCTCCCAGATTTTGTGATATAACAATGTTGACGATGAGCACTCAGTTACTGGACCACCACCCGCTAGCACTGCGTCCTCTTCTCGTCCACTTGCACCAATTTTTACGCGTGCCAAACCTGTGGGCAAGGTTACTGGCTCCCGTCGCTCTTCTCCTCGTCGCTCCTCCTGTGCCGTAATGGACACATCAGTGCCGGAGAAATTGCCGCAAACCGGATGGAGGCACTCATTGCAGAGCTTGTAGAGGAGGGCTTTGGTTTAGATGACGATGAGGACAATCTGTGATACACTTGATACATTTTTTTCCTTCTGTGTGTTGAAATTTACAAGTGGAGAGAAAAAAAGTTTGGTTCATGCGTTTGAACACTAGTGAACGCCGAACCGAACCTGGCGAACCTGAACCTGAGGTTCAGGTTCAGGTTCGGGGAAATGCCTCAACCGAACTGAAGTTCAGGTTCAGCGTTCGGAAAAAAAGGTCCCGAACCTGAACCGAACCGAACTTTGACAACACTAGGTACAGTTCGTGAACGTGGAGTCCAAAACGGTCCGAAACATCACGAGTGACGCGTAACATCTCTCTCTCTCTCGCCATTGGCGGCTCCAAAACACTTTCATCAGAGTGCGACGCGTCTTTACATTCTGACGCTTCTGGCCGACTTCTGCACTCTACTCGCATGAACTAGCCCTTGACTGCGGCGCCATGGTGGATTAGATTTATCGTTTCGTCGGTATCCAGCGGCCAGAATCCAGCTTACTGTACCCACTTCGAGCGGCGGGCCAAGAGCTTCATCGCGGTTCCTAAATATGAGACTTCGCATCCCATGCCTGAGGTCTTACGTGCCAAAGAACACGGTCTGAGCTCTGAAGGCTTGTCCGCAGACTCTCCCCCAGAGATATCCCTTCGTGCATTCGACCGGTCGTCAATTGAAGACGCCTTATCAGGCTTGCGCCGACATCCTTGGCAAGTGCACGCGAGCCATGGGCGTTAATTCCCCTGCCGATAGCGGAATAACTAGATTGGAGAATCTTGATCTTTGCTTACGCTGGTCGCAGGGACGCCGGGCCAATTCCTTGGGTCTCTTGTTCCCGCATTGAAAAGCTAGCCGCTCAAACATGTGAAGCCGTCTAGTCTGTGGATTTTTTACCAATTACGGTCTCCAAACATCAAGACCCTGTCGATCAATCATTCAGCTGACCTTCACTCGATCCTGTTCCACGCCCAATCCCATACGAAGCTCCAGTTGGAATATTGCATCAATGATTCATCGCTCGACTTGAATACTCCGGGCTGCGACATGTTTAGCTCTGAGGCTAGACGTTGGTATAGATGATTTCTTCACGGGAAGTCGGCTCACCCGGATAATCCAGCCACGATGGTGGTCATAGGATGAGGCTCTCGATGTCCTGACCTCGCCTCCTGGGGTTACGGGCTGGGATCGCGTGCAATTCGGACGCGAGGATGGATAGATGATTTCAGCTTCGCATTCCAGGCTACGATGCAAATCGGAGGGTCTAAATCTCGATATATGTGGACAGCGGAGGGTGTATGTATGTATGTTTTTTTGAGCTGTATAACACTGGCCATGACCACTTTTAGGTTAAACAATATGGTCTCTTTTTATCATTGAAACTCGCTATTGTGAGTTTCGTATGTGTTTTTGAAATTGTGTCAGATGAATATATTCCTCGCTAGCGGCCAGTACGTACCAAGCAGTTGCTTTCCCCACTTCATCAGTCGAGTCTGCTCTTCGGCCGAGTACTTGAACTTTGTCAGGTCTGACGGGCCCTTTTTTCCCACCGACACGCTGTTCAATTGTTAAACACAGAGAAGTCAACATAACGAACGATGCTGCGTACCTGGACTTGCAGATCCTCCCCTCAGCATCCTTGTACAGTACCGCGACAGTGAATACTGCTGTTCCAACTTGGCCTGGGCCGTGCCCGACGAGCTCTTGCAATTACAGTGCGACCAAAGTCTTGACACTAATCTGG